CCCTTTCTTTCTTTTAATATATCTTTGTTGATTTCAGAGAGAGGAAGGGAGAGGGAGAGAGAGAGAAACATCAATGATGAGACATCATTGATGGGCTGTCTCTTGCACACCCCCTTGCCCCCCACTGGGAATTGACCCTGCAACTGGGGAAGGCGTCCTGACCCGGAATCGAACCTTAATTTCCTGGATCATAGGTCGATGCTCAACCTCTGAGCCACGCCTGCGAGCCTGTTCTGGTTTAGTTTTTATTCCATTCCCCTTGTGGGACCCTGTTCTGGAATGGAGCCCAGGGCTCAGTTTTGAAAGTTCATGAGTGCCAAACCACTCTAGCCTCCTCAGAATCTGCTGTAGGCCCCTAATGAAGTGGGCCAGACCCTTCCCAGTTTTTACTGTTCTTAGATTCAACCTCCCCTCTTCTCCGCTTCCTCCCCACAGATGCTGGTAGCACCAGTCTGTGGCTGATGGGTTTTGGCCCGTCCCCCTTGTATTTTGGGATTTCTGGGTATACCCCGTCTCCTGTTCTTCAGTAAATATTTTCTGTGGGTTTTTGTTTCTGCTATCTGGTTGCTTGTTTGTATGTGGGAATTCATGTGGATTTAAAACTCTGCAGCTGCTTCATCGTCTTTAAATCTCCCCAGTCCCTCACCTTCCCTGGTTCTTACTGTTAGCCTCCTCTCTTTCCCATTATGCCCTTCTTCATCTGCTGTTTCCTACACACAATTTTCCTCCTCTGCTAATCAAACCCTTTTGCCTTGGAGGCTGTATAAACAAACCCCAGGCTTTGGCATCAGACTAACTGGGTTCAGATTCCTGCCCCACTGCGTAGGATCTTTGCTGCCTTACTTCTGTGAAGCCTCAGCTTCCTCATCAGCAGAGTAGAAATAATTGCATTAAATAAGATAATTCACGCAAAGCCCTGAGCTAGAGAGCATGGTACACAGTAAGAGCCTCTTTTCTGGTAGCTGCCTTTAAACTTGAGCTCAGACCTTAGCCTTGCCCTGGGCTCTGACCCAGTTTCAGATATCTGCCTCCTTCTTGTGCCTGCGTGGTGCCCCTCTCTGCAGCTGTCCCCTCTGGAGTGGGAAAGGGGCAAAGGGGCCAGGACCACCTGCCTTGAGCAGGGCCATGGGCCATGTCTTCCAGGACCTACTGCGAGCCCACTACGATAACAGGGGGAACCGGAACACCATTTGGGAACTCTTCAACAGCCTTCAGCGGCGGAGTGGCTGGGTGGAGTCTCTTATCCGGGCACTGAGGGCCTGTGAGCTGTCTGATCTTGCTGACGAAGTGGACCAGGTCTATCAGAGCAACTTACCCTGTAAGCCTCCTGCCCTGGCCCTCCTGTTGGAGCCCCTGTCTATTCTCCTGCCCTCTACTCTCCCAGTCTTCTTACCCCTGTATCTCCTCCCTTCCTCTGTCACTGTCCCTCCCATCACTCTTGGGCAGTAGACAAACCTGGGTTTAGATCCCAGCTTAGCTACTTATTAGCCGTGTCCCTTTGGCCAAGTCCCTTAATTGCTCTGAGCCTCGGTCTTCTCTATAAAACAGGGCTAATGACAACACCTACCTCATGGGGCTGTGGTGGATACCATGGGATGTCAGCATGTCGAGTGCTTAGGTGGAGCTGAGCACCTCCCTGTGTTCAGCAAATGGAACCTCCTCTCATCTTTGTGGCTGTGATATTTGCCTTCCACCCCGCATTTCCCTGTCCTATCTCCTCTCCCTCTGTTCACCTTCTCTCTCTACCTTCCTCTCTCCTCTTTTCCTCCCTTTACTGTCTCCTCTTTCTCTGTCATGGATTTCTTCTTTCCTTTCCCCTCATCTCTTCCCATCCCCTGGTTTCCCTTAGAGCCTTCTGGGTTCTCCACCCAGTTACCCCTCAGCTCCCCTCCATACTCCCTGCCAGGCCAAAAGCCCCCAGGGCGGTTTGTGAGGTCATGGTCTGAGGAACCAGAAAGGGAGGAAAACAAAAGCCAGCTCTATTTATATTTCATACTAGAGACCATTCTTGAAGCCCTGCCTAGATTTATAGCCTTACAGCATCTCCCTGCTTGTCTTCTATCATTTTTCTCTACGCCCTCCCCT